ATTGAGCGAGTTCTAAAAATCTACCATAATAATTTTAGTCAAATTGCAACTGAATTCGAATCAATCAATGGATCTATCTCAATGCTCCAAAATTAAATCAATCGATATTATACCGTTATCCAGGCACGAAGTGTCATTTCTCCCGAAATAATTGAGCCTACCGAGGAAGCAGAACAATCCGATTCGACCCAACGATTATTTTCAGATATAACTTCAGAAATCTGGAACCAATTTAAAATTATTTTCGATAGGATTATGGCAGAAAAAAGCGTGTTCTTTAGATGATATGTGTGTTATTGTGGCTGCCGATATTATTAATCTTGGGGTGGGACAACTTAGTAGAGATATAATCAAAAAATATTATCATAGAATTAATGATTTAAGAGGTAGTAACAGATAAAATAGGTGCTTGGATCGATAGTAAAACAGTTACAAGTGAGTAGCGGGAAAGGAACTGCCAATATATGGGTTAGGGCTCGGCAGGCTTAACAAGCAGGCATGATCTTTATGCCTTTCCTCCCTTGAAACATCCTGCTACTCTATTATGTTTGCTTAGCCGGTCAGCCCTTCCTCATATTATTTTACGAAAAATATAATAAAGAGCTTTACCTTGATTTTTTCTTTAATAAAATTTCGCCACGTTTTTATTTTTTTATGTCGGAAAAACTAATCAGGAAAAAGCTGTAGACTAAGAGTCCAGCTTGCACTAACGTCACATTGCTGTAATAGCATCCTTGTTAGACTAAGAGTCCCAACAGTTTGCCGAAGTAAGAGTTCATGACTGGAAACTAAGAGTCCCAGCTTGCGCTGTTGTTCAGACGTGACGTTAGGTAGATACTATAAGTTGTCAGGCGACAATCCAGTAAATGCAATAAATTGTAAATTATTCGAAACACACCCTTGCGACTTTGGTGTGATGCTTTTCATGTGGATGAAAACACGGGGGAGTGACACCAGGGAAATCAACATTGTGGCTTAGAACCAACTTTTCGCGTAATCCAAGCAATCCGATTATTATTATTAAAACTAATTCTTTTTCAAGAATGGCTCATTCAATGGCCGCCTTTATGGCTTTTTATCATGCTAACAAGATCGAAGACTGGACGTGTAATAACCTGGTGGAATATTATCGTGATAAAACGGAGAAAAAAGATTGGAAGAAGGTATTAGATTGGATCAAAAAAGATCTCGTTAGGGTAACAAGGTCTGACTCTGAGTTCGACACGATACGTAGAGGAAAAGCACAAGAAATCCTGGACAAATGGAAGGTAACTTATTGGATTTGACTAATTGAGAGCTAGTCTTTTACTCGATATACATACATTTATTACGAAATGTTTCTCGCAAGTATAATAATTTTAAACTTTTTTTTTCAAAGGATTGGACTACATTTTACAATGACATTATAAGAAAGGATTGCGCTCATGTGAATATGCGGGTAGGCTTCTTCTAGTCTGAAAATCTATGGTAAAGGATAAATTAATAATTTTGTCAATTAGGTAAGGACCATAAGTACTATAAGTCAACTAAACAATCTGACTGGAGATTCAACACAAAATTTCGACAATTGTCTTATAACTTCGGGAAAACGAGATAGAGAAGAAACGGAAAGATCCTCGCCTCGATTAAAAAAGGTGAGATCATTGCAATCTATGAAATGCAATATCATGATTTATTTATAAACATTGATTTTCAAATTCCAGAAGGCGTTTTCTAGTGGAAGCTCAGATACTCGGAACTATTTCTCGCAGATTCGTTCTGAGCAGAACGAACAAGATCAACGACCTCGAACCCCCGAACATAGAATTTATTCATCAGGTGCCATGCCATCTTGGAACCGAGAGGTAATTGTATTATCATTATTATTTAATGTGTAAATGTAATTTTTTTCAAATGGCTTTGCGAATTTTATTTATGTACATAAAAACAAAAGTGATAATGGTGAGTCACAAGAACTCTGTGATTCAGATAGTGATCCCATATCAGATCACAAGTTACTTGACGAATTATCTGAGGTAATTAATCTTTGCTTATTTTGCATAATCAATGTATTCACTTCTATCCAATCTTTAGGAATTAAAGGGTTTGGGCGCCATTGAATTGACAATTCGGGATACTTTGCTCGAAATTCTCCGTCAGAATTAATCAAAGGATTTAAAATCGGGAAAAACACTGATGAACTCGAATTTCTTAAATGGGATAATAGATGTTTCGAATGCCAAATTGAAGAAAATGACTCGATCAATATTAAATAAATTGAACGAAGGACAACAGTGGTTTGATCAGGTTCTCAATAAACAAACATGGGCTTCAACTTCAGAGTTCATCGACTATTGCAATCAGTTCACGGACCACGTATGTAATCGTGTACAATTCCCCACTTTGGTACGCAAGTCCTTTGTCACAGGGCATTTTGATCCCTTTGTTCATGAAGGGCACGACATTGCGCAGGACATTATGAAACACTTGTAAGTATTTTTTGCTTATGAAGTTAATGACATCAATAATACATTAACAATAAAATAGTTCAGTGCGGTTGGAAGCTCCATGCAATATAAGTTCAAAATCGTCGAAACTGGAAAGAACCTACGCGATCGACACGATTATATATGTTATGAATAGAATTTTCCGTATGCATTTCGATGTTCTCGATGAAAACTGGTAAGTACCGATTGTAAGTTCCTGCTAATTTGAGTTATATTGTTAATCTATTCTTTTTTTGTCACTATTATTTTAGGATAGAAATACTTACTAGAGATACAAAGTCCCATAAGATCGATGGGGTTTTGAAAGTTTTTCAAACGAAAAAGTTTACACAGACAATCATAATCATGGAGTTTTCATGTGGTCAATACGCTTCAGAAGACAAGGATACTGACGATCTAGTGAAATTGAGTCGCAATGCAAAAGAATTTTAAACAAATTACTTGATAAAGTCCCATGTGAGAAAGCACGAGTTTATACTATTCAAAGTGTTAGTAAGTGTCATTATAAAATATTTGTTAATAAAAAAATTCTTGGTTACTTACTTAATCTTTTTCTGTATAAGATGGAAATATTAGTATAAAATATATGTGCGACCTTTATCTTCAATATATCTGTATGAAGAGTTTGTTAGCATCAAAATACAGTGATTTACAAAACCAGCTCAATGTTTGAAAGAATTGGATGTGCAAGCTTATAACTCCACAAATATCCAACCAATTTACATGAAATTTAAACTGAATATAGTCTTACATTCTGGCTTCTAATTCACTTTGTTTTATTTGAAAAGACTTAGTACTTCAAGAGTTATGATTTTTTAAATCCTATTAGTGCATTGAGCTGGTTTTGTAACCTGTAAACATATTACTGTTACACCTTTGTATGATGTTATGCAGACGCGCAACTCGATTTATTTACTCAAAAAACGCGTTATTTACACTTATTTGTATATATAATGTTTGTTTATATTTTCCACCCTTCTTTGAATTAATTCTCATTATGAAGCCTATTTCTGAAGAAACTCATAATAAAAATTGTTTCCCTCTTGATAATGGACTTTCTTCATATAAAATTACTGCACAATTGAATATTAGTCGTGCAACTTTGGGTAGAGTACGTGAGAAGTCAAGACCAAACATAAAAAAAAGTCAGGGTGGATGGCTAGCCAAACTTAATCACTTCAGGAAAGGCAGATAATGCTGCTTAGCTCTCGTGAACTGAAGGAGAGCACCAACATAGTGTTGAGCACCCAGACAGTGCATTATGCTTTAAAGGAAGCTGGTTTAAAGGCTGCAACAAA